TGCGTGGCTCTTACGTATGAGCACTTAAGATTTTGGCTGAATATCTGACTGAGCAACTAGGTTACTTTTAAAGAACGATCGTTAAATGGAAATTGTACATTTACTTCGTGCAAAATTTATGGTGATTTGTGCTAGTGACCGCAAAAGGTAGGTGCAAAGCAACAACCATTCATACAGTTAATGACCTGAGTAAGTCCAGTGCAAAAACGCATGATCGCACGGTCCCACCCGGTGCGTTCCAGCCTGGGTTATTTTGAGAGATTTGTTTGACATCTTTTTGGCATCGCTGACTGCTATTTTCCCCGTAGAATGGGCTTGGAATTGCTTGCAATAGCTTCCATAGAAACAAAAATTGGTGCTTACCATTATGCGATTTTTATTATCCAGCGCGATTAGTAATGCCAAAGTTGATTTGGATGGCTTTCGAGTCAACTAATGAAAAGCTCTAATATGGGTCCCGCTGAGTTCTGCTTAAAGTTTTGCGATGCAAGTGCTCCCCATTATTAGAATCAGCATCTGTTTAGGATTCTGTATCATCTCGTTGGGGGAAAAAAATTACATGGTGATGGAACTGTCGAGTAGCCACAGTGAAAAAAAAATGACTGTTTTCAGGAGTGCAGTCCACCAGTGCCGTAAGCAGACAGCATAAAATGGTATTCGTTGTGAACATGAGTCTGAAAATGGGAACGGGGAAGCTGGCTGCGCAAGTTGGCCATGCAACACTGGGTGTTTATCGTCTTGCTCAGAGAAGCGAAGACGTTAGTTTTGCATCATTTCCTGAACAGTTTTTATGCGTTTTTTTGCAGCTGTGCAATGCAGAATACGCATACTGACGAGGGGTTGTCTGTATGTTTGTCTGTACCGATTTTTCATCTCGAGACCTACAAAAGCTACGGGGTTGAAATTTTGGGAACTTAATCTACATGCATACATCCCGAAAGTGGGCGCTCTTACTCGCGTGGTATCCACGTATGGGCAAGCCGCTAACTCGGAAAGCAGAGAAGTTGGAAAGTGAAATTTTAAGGGGATGTTCCCCAGTATGTGTTAGTGAGCTCAAACCCAGTCCCAGGGTATGCGTGGCACTCACGTAGAAGCCCATGAAATTTTTTTCAGGTAAGTTGCTAGCTCGGGAACCTGGGAAGCTAAAAGACTTTAATTTTGAGAGGATATTTCCTGACAGTTCTCGCGGCCACTCCTAATCTGTCTCGCTAGAAGCACTTACCAGAAAAATCGGTGCCGGTAGCGAAAAGAACTGTGGGGAACTATGCAAAAAATGCATCTTCGCACGGGCAGCCCGTGCGTTGGCCAATTATTTT